GAAGGTCTCGTGGTCATTTATGGGGTTCTGGAGAACATTCATGGTGGTTTATGGACCATTTGTGGTCATTTATGGGGTTCTGGAGAACATTCATGGTCACTTATGGGGTCTGGGAGGTCACTCGTGGTCATTTATGGGGTTCTGGAGAACATTCATGGTGGTTTGTGGGGTTTTGGAGAAGGTTCAATGTCATTTATGGGGTTTTGGAGGAGGTTCATGGTCACTTATGGGGTCTGGGAGGTCGCTCATGGTGGTTTGTGGGGTTTTGGAGAAGGTTCATGGTCATTTATGGGGTTCTGGAGAACATTCATGGTGGTTTGTGAGGTTTTGGAGAAGGTTGGTGGTCATTTATGGGGTTCTGGAGAAGATTCATGGTGGTTTATGGGTTCTGGAGAAGATTCGTGGTCATTTATGGGGTTCTGGAGAAGGTTCTTGGTGATTTGTGGGGTTTTGGAGAAGGTCTGAGGTGGTTTATGGGGTTCTGGAGAAGGTTCTTGGTGGTTTATGGGGTTCTGGAGAAGGTTGGAGATGGTTTATGGGGTCTTGGAGGTCATTCATGGTGGTTTGTGGGGTTTTGGAGAAGGTTGGAGGTCATTTATGGGGTTCTGGAGAACATTCATGGTGGTTTATGAGGTTCTGGAGAAGGTTTGTGGTCATTTCTGGACCATTTGTGGTCATTTATGGGGTCTTGGAGGTCACTCGTGATAATTTATGAGGTTCTGGAGAAGGTTCTTGGTGGTTTATGGGGTTCTGGAGAAGGTTCATGGTGGTTCATGAGGTTCTGGAGAAGGTTTGAGGTCGTTTATGGGGTTCTGGAGAAGGTTCTTGGTGGTTTATGGGGTTCTGGAGAAGGTTCATGGTGATTTAGGGACCATTCGTGGTCATTTATGGGGTCTTGGAGAACATTCATGGTTGTTTATGGGGTTTTGGAGAAGGTTCGTGGTCGTTTATGGGGTCTTGGAGAACATTCATGGTGGTTTATGAGGTTCTAGAGAAGGTTCGTGGTCATTTATGGGGTTGTGGAGAAGGTTCATGGT